CAGGGATGATGTTTCCATGTGTAGGTTTTGGGTTGGACTCATCAAGGGAACACATTTCAATTCATTCGTTGTTTAACAGATACAACTGCGCAAAAGGGCAATCAAGTTCATGAAATGAATGAAAGGAACCCAAAGCCGGCTGGAGATGTCAAGTCCAATGCATTCCCCTTGCAAAGCTTGCGCCTACCCATTCTAGTTCTTTCTGCCAACCACGGCGTGAAGTGAAGAATATCCAAGGATGCTGTGGCATAGCCTCCAGCTAGCAGGCATCGGCTGAGGACACCCTTCCCCGCAAAGATCTCAGCAGCATCATAGATCTGCGCATGTCACATGGGAAGATATGGGAAGTGCATGCATGCTTTAAATCACGAATGGGTGACTTTGATTCGGTGGCGCCTCATCCCATTGAAGACCCTCTGTGAAAGCCAGAAGGACCACTGCCATCATCAGGACCTCAACGGAGTAGTACGGAGTAGCCTACAGATTCCTCGCGTTGGGGCCCTAACCTCGAACATTGTTTAGTTGAAATGAACTTGGGGAACTCTCAAGTGTGGGCTGGTAGATGGTCCTGCCAAGGCACTCGGGGGGCGTTCACGAGCAAAAGCTGGCGAAGGAGAAGCATCAGGCGTTCGTGAGGCATCGCCATGACCAGCGCTCGATTTCTACTAATGTAGGTCTTGTTACAACAAGATGCGTGTCGTGTACACCAAGTACGTCCATATGTTCATATTGCTTACTGTTCAAAACCCACAGAGTGCACTCAAGTGAGAAAAATGTTGCACAAAGAAAGGGACTGAAGATCAGCATTCTCAAATCACAGACTTGCTAAAATGACTCGAGATCAAACCCTTCTTTAGATCAGAAAGCCGGCAGCAGAGTTGCACCTTCACGTTGGCGGTTGGAGGTCGAGCGTCGGAATCTGGCCAATTTGCTCATTCGAAACGTAGTCGCCTGGCATGTGAACAACTGCGGGTTCAAAGTATATGCTTTTTCTATGTATACCATATATAGATATATCTGTATACATTGTGTACATATACATATGCAATCACCATATGTATGTACATATACTATTCTACTGCTGCCCTTTGAATACATAGAATCTATAATTACAATAAACATATATATATGTTGTATGCATGTATACCACGTGCTGTTGCGGAGACGACAGGTTTGCAAAAGCATTCATTTCTGCGATGATCAACCCTTTCCATTGAAACACTTGCGGTGAAAACCACATGTCCAAGTCAGAGCCCATTTGCTAAGCGCACATCCTGTTGATTTTTGCGGTTGACCCAGATGCGACGGTGTGTGTATATATGTTGACCCTTCCTTTGCAAAGTTCTACTCTATGGATGTGGTGTGCTTGGGCTTCGACAACCCCAACAAATCCACATATATATAGCCGTATAGCAAGGTTCTTCCCTGCTATAGGCACCCAAAACCCACAATTCAAAATCCTCTCCACTCAGAAGCAGCCGAAGTGAGTGCTCCATGCAGGACTTGATGAAATGATCCGCAAGAGTGGGCATACCTTGGGAAGGACCGGCATGAAGCACACCGCATGTACTTATAGACTTGTAAAAGAACACGACTTTCACTGTGCTTGAATGTTTTGCGAAGTGACAACAGGCATTCCAAAACAGGTTGAGAGGCCGTCAAAAAAGGATAAGCATGTTTGTTTGGGTGTCCTTTTGCCCTTGAGGTTTGCATGGGTTCCTTGTTGCTCCTGCATCATAGTTACAATTACATAGTTCGAAACAAGTAGAAAAAAGAGACACACACTCAAACATATATTCTAAAATTTGGTTGATTTGAGAAAGGTTTCCTGGCCACCCACTTGTTGCGCTTGGTCCAGCCATCACACTGCATGCTTTGAGTTTTTGCGGGGTCGCTTTGCTCGCGTCTGCTTTTCTGCAGTCTTGGTACGTTTGGAAGGCCCTTTTTTGGTGGGCTCTTCCGCAGGTGTGCTGCCATGTGCTTCTGGTGCAGGCAGTGCTTGCTGCTGGCTGTAGTAGTATTCCGCATTCCTACCACGGAAGCTGGAACGGCGGCAATTGCTGCAGCCATTGTATATGCAACGGCAATTTGCACAGCCCAAGACTTGCCCAGGCAAAACTCGATACATCCATGACCTGCCCATCTTAATCCGATCTTGGGCTGGGTGTTCAGAGTTATCCGGCTTGCTTGCCCCATCAACCTTGTTGGATGCGGCGGTTGATGATGTCTTGCGCTTTCTACGTGGTTCTGCGGACTTGGCTTTGGATCTGGTATTGGCAGCCTTTCCCTTGGCTCGCTTCCGGGCTGCCGGGTCAGGAACAAAAGTGGGCTCGTCAGTCGATGCACTGGCTTGCTCTACCAAACCCTCGCGGCTCTTACTTTTCTTCAAGATATTGCGCTTTGAGCGCCTCTTGGTGACACGGCCACCTGCACCTGGTGAAGTGTTCTTTTTGCCGGACTTTCCTTTCCCAGGTTTTCGTCCCTTTTTCATGTTACTCTTTTTCGTGGTGCGCATTGCAGACTGCATCATGGGGGTGATTTCCGGTTCTGATTCCTTGGCCTCACCCTTGGCCTCAGCATCGACCCCTGAGCCTTTGCCAGAAGCCGGCTCTACAGTGTTGTTCTGGATCTCGTTGCCCTTGACCTCAACCTCGGCCGGCAAGTTGGCAACCTGCTCAGGTTCCACCTGACGGCGGGGCAAGAATCGATAACCTGACCAATCTTGGTTGACAAATCGCAGAATTCTTAAGACACGATCCCAGCAAACAAATTTTGGCCTTCGGCGGTGTCTCACAAGGTGGTGGATGATGGGCCGCAGGGGGAGTAACGATCTGACCGAAGTCCATTGGCTGGGTCTCAGCCTACAAATGGATCTGTGCATAAGAACTTTCCAGACAAATAGCGAATAATAAGACGATAGAAAACTATAAACAGGATATACGGGCATGGCCCAGCCTCGGAAATGTCGCGCAAAGCAGGACATGGAACAGGTCGACCCTGGCCACCTCAAACCAGCAAAGTAGCTGTCAGAACTGAATGAGAGTGAAAAATCGGCCCAACATGGCTGCGATATACCTTTTCAACAACGGTTTGCGCGCCTTTGGCCAAATCATTCTCCACAGACCTTGGGGATGAGTACTGCGGCAGCAATATTTCGATACTATGTCAAGAGCATGTTTACAAGAGTACCTGGGCGCAGAACTCACGAGAACGACTGGCCAGCCGCATCATGTGAAGTTGATGCAAGACACTGTCCAGTTCCTTCTGCTGCTCCGCAGTCATTGGAACGCTGCATGCCTCGCCCAACACATCAAGTTGCAGTTGACTTTCACCGGGAGAGCCCACCATGGTTGGCTCGTCAGAAGCCTTTGGTGTCACTTCTGAAGCCAAACTTGAAGCTGACCGCTTCTCTCTGTACTGTGGCACATTCCCTGACTTGAGAGTCGGGTCAGGTGATGGAGCAGGTGAAGCAGCCTCAAAGCAATCAGACTCCAACCTGCTAGGAGTCTTGGAAGGATCAAATGCATGCTGAACATCTTCAATGGCCCACTTGGCCCATTGAGTTCGTAGATCCCGGATCTTCTCGAACAACGCCTTGACCTTTTTGTCCTGCAACAACTGATGGAAACACACATGCATGTACCAGGTGGGGAGGGAACATGTAAAGAAAAGCGAACATGCTGGCAACAAAAAACAGCTATATCTTTGACCGCTGCAGTCCCGGGGTCGCTGGTTTCTCTTGGCAGCGTCGTTTTGTCGACGAAATGCAAAGGTATAGAGCTGGCGCAGGTCCCAGGCTGCTATGTAGACTTCGCGTGCTCCAGGCTCATAGTTAACGTCTTCAAACAGTTTCTTCACCTGCATGCATTCTGTGGATGAAATACATGCATGGGTGATGGGTCATATACACATGGACAGCTATAGTAAGCACACCTCAACTCTTTCCTTACTCCCTCAACTCTAGTGGACACTGAAACAAAGACTTCGGCCTCAGGTTTGAGGTCATCAATGCTGATGAACTGGCCATCTAGCTCGTCAACCATCACAGTCAGAACATCAACATTCAACTCCAAAGCTTGTGTGCAAACCGGGTGAGCTGGTTCGATCTCCTCCTCCTGGGTTTCTGCTGGCGCAGATGTAGATGGCCACTGCAAAAAGAACTTTTGCTTCATAAGCCTGTGGCGAATGACCCTGTTGTTTTCCCATGCTGCTGCTAGCTGGCCGGCTGCTGCCATTGCCAGTCCAACCCTCAGACTAGTTCGAGTTCAGCGCACACCGCAGAGCCTTTAATAGTTGCATGGTGATGCACAGGTGTTCGCTGCTTCATATGTATATGGCAAAGAAACATGTTAATCCAACATGCCCAAACATGAGCATGGATCAAACATTGCCCGTGGCAGGATTGGCGATTCATTGAGAAGAACATGCCAGCCGTACTGGGCATTGAGAGTGAGGAAATACTTGCTTCCTCCATCCTGCATGCTCAAGAGGTCGATTGAACAAAATGACGGAACTGTTCTATACTTACCTTCACAGAGACAACCCCTCTTGTCGAAAACGCTACTGTCCCAGTCCTCATCGATCTCTCAGCCGCAGGGTCCGTCGTGCTTCCATGGGCATACAGGATATGGATACAAAGTTGTCATACAAAGTGCAAGCAACTTTCCTACATGGTCTACAGGTTCGTCGTTGGCACCTGTCAACGTGACTTGTTTTGCTTCAGTTTATCTATTGTAGGATGCCACATGCCCTTTGAGCCTTGCTCATGCTGAAGAAAACAGACCTTCAGAGGTGCCTGGGCACGCGGGGAACCTGAAGGCAGCGATGGGAAGTGTCAATATTAGAAAGTGTACGATTTTTGTTGGGTATCTGAGAAAGTGAAGCCAGAAACATGCAACTATTCAAAGTTTACCTTTTAAACAGGCAACTTTCGCGATCCAGGTAGGGCCGATAAACGAAGCTCGGAGCCCCTCACCACTCTCAATGCCAGGGTCCCAAACGCGGTAGCGGCTTGGACATGCCTGAGAGTCTCAGCTGGGGCCAGGTGGTGGACCCCGTAATAGACCCGCCCACTTGGAACCCCACCCCACTAGATGATTCACTTTTAAGGGGTGGGTCTACCCGTAATACCCCATTGGACGTTGTAGCAAAATCACGAAGATGGTAGGGCTCCCTCCAACTTGAAAGCTCCGGCATGTCTCAAAGATGTTTGGTCTCTCTTCACCTCGACTTAGGCCACTCAGCTGCCAAAATACCAGGAATCACTCCACTCACCATCTCAGAGTTCAACATGACTCAGGAATCAACACCACGCAGTGAGAGAGCTCTGACGCGCTCTTACGCTGAGACTCCGACCGTGAACCGCCGCAGGTTCGCAGCGAGTCTCATGGCCCTTTGGCCAGTTACAGTAAGTCTTTTTGAAGTTGCAGTGAAACCCTGGTGGTTGTTCGTTGGTTGTTTTGATCTGAGTGGTACTTGAAAGTTGGTTGGTTGGTAAAATTGGTAAAATGTTCAACAAGGCATCTGAAAAAATACACTCATAGCAACCATCAGCCTAGATTCTAGATCTTGAAAAAGGCTTGATCATATCACTGTGAGAGTCAATCTTGTTTCTTCTTGATTGATCTTGGGACAAACCTTCAGAGCTGGGTCTCCTGGTCGTCAAGACAAGATTAAAACACCTCTACCCGAAATCTGGCGCTTCGCGCTCTCGAACCAGGTCAGGGCAAGGACCGTCAAGCGGCCAAAAGAGTCTTTTATGACTGGTGACACCGGACTCTGGCTGCAACTTGGTCTACAGTATGGGGACATGATAACACTATGAAATCTGATAAGCAGTACAGCATTGACTGGGATTGTGTCGAAGGTGTCCTTGGCACTCAGCAAATCGACTGGCATGGGCTCTGTTGGGGCAACTTGTTGTGTAGATTTCACGTAGCTCATGCCCGACACGACTGGGGTTGAGATTGTCTACTGATCAACCGGTCAAGCCGGTCATGCTCCTCACACAAATCACGAGAAAAAGCACCACCTGAAATATATCCTGAAAATATCCCGAAATATACCGTTTGTACCATGTTTTACCTAGCATTCGAGGCACAAGGGGTCAGGCCACTGCTGGACTTGGGTTTTACCCCTGCAAAATGAGCTCAAATGGATGAACTACCATGCAGGTCATCCTCCCACGGTTGGGCTCTCTTACAGTATCAGTATGACTTAAACAATGTCCAACATCTCAGAACAAGAAAATCATCAAAACATCCATGTTAAACGCTGTTCTTTCACCTCAAAACCTCAGGAACGCGTCCCACATATCGATCTCCCACGTCTCTGGAGCCGACCACCGGAGCCCACGGAGCCATCTCCGGACGTCCGACACCAGAGACGTCCTCCAGCAGTGACAAGGCCTGGCAGGTGTCGCACGCGCGACACGACGTGTGGCGTCTAGGACCTTCAGTCGGTCAAAAAAAAACGGTCAGAACAGGCATATTTTCTGCGGTCCAAGTCCTCTGGAGACTGTAGGGAGACTGGTTTGAGCGCAACGGCACAAATTCTATATATACGCAGGTCACCGGGTATGGCAACTATGTGCAGCTATGTCCATGCAGGGCGCCCTGGTGTGACGACCTTGAGCCTGTTACAGTATATAGACCTGCAGCATACTTACCCTCGGGCTCCGCTCCAACTACCTCCGAAGATGGTAAGTTATGGTAATATATGTTTGGGGGGGTCTAACCACTTTCTGAGGATGGTGTTTAAAGGTATAGATCCTGGGCCGCAGGCCATCTAACACATCCATCCCACACGCTGCAAAGGCTACCACGCACGCCTGGCCCTGCATGCCGCCCTTCAAACACGCGCTCATGGCGGTGTTGAAGGTCACGATGTCAGGCCGGGTCTGTCGCTGTTTCAAAGGTGACGAAGCCCGACGGCCAACCCCGACGTGGGGGGGGCAGCGTGATGTCGCATGAGTCAAACCTGGCTTTCAATCGAAAGTGGGATGAAGGGCAAAGCCAGGCAGTGAACTTGGCGTGATGAGGGGGATTGGAGCTGAACGATATGGGAAGTCTTAGTGGAGACCAGGACCGGTTTCTAGAGTAGTTGCAGGGATGTGTGGTCTTTTTTTGGTGGACTTTCGACTTGTTGGATCAATCTGCACCACTTTGTGGGTCAATGAGTGTTCTGATATCTTCTGGTGGCATTGAAATGGATCATCACCTCAACATGTTCAGACCTGATGCGATAACTTGTTCAATATCTACTATATATCATTGCGTGTCCATGTGGCTCTAACTGCACGAAACAGGCAACAACGGATGGACTGACACCATGTTCTTCGCGCCCGTCCCTGAACTAGACGGACGCCTGGAAAGCCACGAAATGATGGGAGTTTCATGGCTAGCCATATACATTGCTACGGCAGTCTCGGTGTCTTCGGTACGGCAGACACCGACTGGTACGACACACCGGAGCTGGTACGGCAGACACCCGATGTGAGAACCGATTCGATGGGCGCCCAGGTCTGCGCCAGGTCTGCTGTGGGCCTTGGTCTCCACCATGTCATCCAGCAGCCTTGGGAGATCGCAGGATCGGAGAGCGTGCCAGAGGGAAGGAAGCAAAACGTAATCAGTTGGTGAAGCTGTGAGGATCTGTGAGGTGTGTCAGCAACTCCAGGTGTAGCAGATTTTACAATACCTGGAGCCCCAAAAACACATGCTCACTCGCATCCTCCAAGGCTTTCTGTTGTGCAACAGACCATTCACCGCGACTCTGTGGACTGCGTGGATTCACAGACATGCACGTGCTTTTACAGCAGCACAGATATCATTCACCGAGGATGAAGGTTCATCCAATCGTCGAAGGGGTCCTCCGTTCAGGTCGACGGCCCATCTTGCCTGCAATATCTGCTGAAGGCTGACAACACACATCACACATGCGAATGGTGTCTAATATGATTAAATTTCCCACATTGCCAAGAAAATACCATCACTGTTCTCGCAAAAGAGTGGAATCTGATTCGACAATATGGTCCAACAAGAGGTCCTCAGTCGTGAGAAGGTGGTCTACTGCCTGGACCACGTCGTGACCATCGTCTCTCGTCTACCTCCCAGGTCCCGTGTCTGACAAACGGAACCGACAGGGCCGGTTCTGAAGCAGCGCAGCCAGGCGGCTGCAAGGTCTCCTCAGCCCGGAAGGCCTTCTCACACCTGGAAGGGCGCCCAATGGATCTGAAAAAGGCACAGCTGTTGACTGCTTTGCTTCAAGGTCTCGAGGTCGAGGGGATTCTTTCACCAGGGCTCAAAGCTTAACTCACCAGTTCAGGTACCTAAAATATAGAAGGGGGCGGTTTGCCAATGCACGTCCATCCCCACTCTTGATCCCTTCTCTTCCAAGGCGCGCGTTCAAGGCGCTGTTGTAGGTGCGGGTCTGGGGCCTTAAGCCCTGGGACTTCATCCTCTCAAGGAGCTTGAAGGCGCTCTCGTACCTTGGGACAAGGAGGAATGGCTTCTGCCACGGCAGGGTGTGGAATGACCCAAGTGGGGATCTTGGAACGGCCGGTAGAATATCATTAGGCCATGCATATCGTGGCACTGCAACTATAACAGCCAAAGGGACCACGCACCTTCTTTAGACTCCGGTGATTACTCAAAAAACAATCGATCATCTTAAAACTTCACTTCACCCTCCAAGCAGTGTCAAAATGCACCATCCAAGGCACTCTCCGTTCTGCGCACACGCATTGATGGCGGCATTGTAGCTGACAATGTCTGGCACAAGAAGCCGCTCCGACATGCCATCCAAGAGCTGCAGGGCACGGCTTGACTGGCCTGCCTGAAACGAGATGGAGGTCAACGCAGGAATGTGCGGTCCTTGGCTGTACAAAGGGGCTTTATCACTTAGGATTATGTTCTTTCAGGTTGTTTACAGTAGCAGGTTCTGCACATGAATGCACTTGTTGACATGGATATTGTGGGCAGTTGGACGGTCAACTGTTGCTGGTCATGATCCGGATATACTCAGACCATAAAGCCTGGCAATCATCTTTATGTTCTGTCAGTGGAGACCCGCCCGGAATGGTGTGAGCTCAGCGGATTTCCCACACCGACACAGCCGGCACCAGTGGAATTAGTGCCATCTCTGAACCCCAGGAAAGGGAAATCGTCCAACTTCCAACACACCAGCCAGATAGGACCTCTTCAAAAGAAATCCTTCCTTGATCTCTCACTTGCAGTTCTTTTCAGTCGCTCGGGTTCCGCAGAAGCACCACGCCCACCTGAGCACAGGCGTTGATGGCGGCATTGAAGATCCGCACGTCAGCCTTGATCCCTGCACGCTCCATCCTTGGCACAACAGAAGTTGCATGACATAATGTAGACTCTTGTTAAATGAGCCACCCATATAAAGAGGGTTTTCAATCCAAATGGGGTGGGCTTGTTAATCAAGAATCAAGAGTCTACATTTAACCAACAGCGACAGCGAAGTCCTCTTGTGGCATGCACTTCGAGGGAGTCGCATACTCATTCGCTCATGTGTTGAATGTGAAAGATATCTACAAGTAGTCCTCCAACCCATGCTGTTGGGTCCTTGCGCGTGCATGGTATAGGCACCCCTAAAAGATAGAGAACAAACACACACACACACCCATTTGTTCAGAAACCAGCGTTGTGAGCGTGTGTATTTTTCAGTGGTTCTTACGCCATTTGTTTGGAGGGTCTGTTGAGTATTGAAGCCATCAGCTATTTGATGCCACTCACGGCTCCGCTCCCACATGGTGTCTGCCGAGTGTCTCGGCCAACAATTGCAGCGCCTCCTTCCAATGGCCGGTGCTCGCACCTCTTCACAAAGGCGAACCCGTAAACGGGGGCAATGGGTGGACCGGACCAGACCCGTTTCTTGTAGGAATGGAGCGAGTGTTCCAACACGAAGCGACTCGCAAACCAGGCTGTGGGTCATGGATGGTCATGGCACGATGGTGGCACCAGGATATCCGGATCTCTTGGCACGACTTGCGCAACAACATCTGCTCACCAAACATCCCCTGAGATCGCTTTGTGCTACCCGGTGGATCGCTTTGTTCACCTCCCGTTGGCGGTCGTTCGCTACTTGGAGTTTGGACTGACCCGGGACCCATATCTTGTCGGCCTGCTGTGAGCTAGCTCTGCTGAAGACTGAAGATGGTACACAAGAAAGTGAAACCAGACAACATGTCTTTGATAAGTGGGGTGTACTTGGTGTACTGTATAGTGGTCATCATCTGGCCTCAACACATTTCTAGGTTGCGGATGCTTTCTGACAGTGCGAACCACTTCAAAGGGATTTGGATGACAATCAACTTCAGGGTTTATCTGCGTGTCAGTGTCACAGGTTAGCCTGTGAGTCTGTGAGATTGAATGTTCAATCAAGTTAATATGAGTGCACAAACACCATGCTCGCGGAGACGGTGTTGTAAGATCCATCACACATTGAAACAAACAGAGTCACTGAGGAATTAACAAAATAATGACATTGTGAAGCGAGTTTCACCAATAACGTAATGAATACCTCGGGCTAATCACTCTATTCAGTGTTTACTGAAACCACATGGTCAAGGAACATGGTCTTCTAAACTGGAGGAGCAGGCTACATCAGTCCTCCGAGAGTTTGGCTTTTCGACATCCAAAGTCTCCTAAGACCCCGAATGGAATGGTTCGGGCCGGTCATTGGATCTCTTCAATGTGTTTTGAGAATCAAGATCATGCACTACCTGAGATATTCAAGGATGCCACATATACATTTACTTATCATGACGCCCATTGTCGAAAAGCGTTGCAGCAGTTTCTCCCTCCACAATACATCATCCGAAGTGAAAGCTGCTTTCTGCCTTCAGCATCCTTCTCCCCTGGCAAAACCCATAAGGAAACCTCCGCCCTCACGCGCACGCGCTCTACTACCACATAGATGCCACCAAAAGTTATTCGACAACTATAAAACCAAATGCATCCAAGGCATATATAGCCATCGCCATCGCTGATTTCTTCACGCCGGCAGAGATGGCGCCAAGGGGCAGGCAGAGATGGCGCTCGTGTAGGAGATCACATCCGGAAAGATCTTTGCAGCCCACATTTCCGCGATGAGCTCCACAGCCTGACCACAAGTTCGCGGAGTGGGTGTCTTTGGAACATGGGGTGGGTGTCTTTGGAAACCCACGTATATATAAGGAGCTCCCATGCCAATTTGCTTAGATTTTCCAACTCTGCAACATGTCTGCCTTTGGGCGGGTTTAAATGAAAAAGGCAATCTTGCGTTGGAAGCTCTAGGAATCAAAACACAAATATATGCAAAGCAAACGATCTGTGGCGGCCATTCGCGGGTTTTCACGCTGAACTTGGCCGCGCCTCCTTCCACCGCTTGTTGAGCGATAGTGCCATGATGGCCGCATTGTATGTGATGGTGTCGGGTGGCACCCCATTCCGCTCCATGTCCGAGAGCATCCCCACGGCCTCGCGCCAGAGTCCTGCGGTTCTTGAACAAAGACCCGAGCGGTGCAGGGGCAGCGTTTTCTCGCACGAGCGGTTGCAATGACGACCGTGGTCGGTTTTTAGAGATTTGGCGTGGTGAGTTTGGGAAACATGGAGAGCTACCGGGTTGCCGGAGACATGGCTGAACCAAAACGAGTGGAAGATCTAAAAATATATATATACCGCTGGTACCAGGGCCCCGTAAGGGGTGGTTAATGGACACCCCGAATCACCTCTAAGGAGCCAGAATTATTAGCTCATATTAGACACCCCTAAACGGGGGCCCAGGTACAAACACTTCTGACTACAATGCTTCATCTTTGGGCAGAAGAGTATATACCTGGGAGCTGCATCCACTACAAAAAGCTCTGAATTCTCCAGCCCCATTCTAATAGCTCCCCACTAAAGAAAGGACTACCGTATGGAGCTCTTTTTTGGTTCCCGGATTCCCGGTCGATGCGGCTTCGCCGCGCGTCCGCGGACGGTCTACCGGCAAAGCATGACGGGTGGGCGACAGACGACTCCTTTCGAAGAGGCATTTGGAACAAGGGCATCGCTACTAGTATCAAGGGCATTACTACTAACAGCTAGAAGCTACTAGTAGCAAGGAGCCTTACTAGTGTGGTGAAGGTCTTAAATATGAATAGGAGTCTTTGTGGGAGGTTGCTGCATTGCGGTTTTGGATTGTTGGGTGACGCATGCATCTGACATCAAAGTGGTCCAGCTTTTGAAGCCTCCCTGCGAGCTCCTAATTGACCAAGCGCTTTGATAGCCACGGTGTACTCCTTGGTGGATGGCGACTACCCAGTTTGACTGAGTGATATTTGGATGCGGAACAGAAGTTCAAACTCCAAGGGAGGTTTGAGGGTAGCCCGGTTTTCAGTGGTCGGTGGAATTGGGCCCTCTCAGAGTCAGTACTAGCTTATAAATATCGCATCCATAAGTTGGCAAACATCCAAACCAACTTAAATTCGGGGTCAACCATACGTACTTCTTTGGGATCTCATCCAGAAGAGATCTTCCGTTGGGCACATCTCAAGGTGGGCCTCACATTTAACTACCGTGGCCATTGGGGGCAACAAGCATCCAACCAGTGACGCTCGCTGCTTGCTGGAGTTGACGGTCTTTGTTGCGCAGATACTTGGGAAGCCTAGTGGTGCCCAGCAGCTTCTGACTCAGACCAACTGAACATGCACATCCTGCCAGAAGACTGTAACTAGTTCTGAACTGCAGTATTTATTCTACAGTGGGTTCTGTTGAACGACATCCAAGTGTTAGAGTTTCCAAAAAGTTCATCCCAAGAGCCTGCCATTCAAGCCTTAGAAGCCTAAGCTGCACATGCTGTCGGGTCGCACGTGCCTCCGTGAGCAGCCTGCGTTGCTGCAGCGCAGCCATGGTCTCCGCCCGCTCGCGGCGCCGCGTTTGGGGGTCACGGAGTTTCATCAAGAGGCCTTGGTAGGCTGCAGGGCTCAGGAGGTTTGAGGTGTCCAATTAGTTCTTGGATATTAAAATAAACATGAGTAGATCCCACTTGAAGCCAGTGGATGAGGTTCTTGGGGATCTGAATCGTGAAACATGCATATGCACAGTGTGAGCGAGTCAACGAGTACTGTCAGTGTCAGTAGATTTTTGTTGTAGTGCAACAAGACAAACAAGCCTTTGACTACCACCAAACAACAACATTGATCGCTGGCAAGCATGCGCAGCAAAACCCTGCCCCAGTGCCGCCACTCACCCAAACACATTTCTGCTCCTTGAACCAGATCAAAGCTGTAGAATTTAAAGGATAGAAAAGTGTTCAAACTGCATGAAAGTGTTTGGTGACATGATGTCTCGGGAAACCCTCCCACACATGTCCGAAGATCGTTTCGTTCAGATAGCCTTGATGTGCAGGCACTCGAATCACTCATTTAGATTCAAAGCTCTTATATAATTGTAACAGCCATTTGGGGGGCCTTTGGCGGTGGAGCGGGAACATGAAGGCCCAAACACTTCCAGTCATCACAGGATTTGGCACATTTGTGTCCCACGCCTATCCTGGTGCTTCAGATTTGAACTTGCAAAAAGGCAGGGTTTCATGGATCTTCATCGCACCGATCCAATAGCTATCATAGGTGTTGACCCTTGACCCACATCCGATGAGTCTGGCCCCAGCAGCGGTGCTTGTCATCACCCTCCTCTTTTAGGCGCCAACTGGCCTCACGAAGCTTTGCTGGCCCGGGCTCGCGACGTCGCTCATGGTGTGATGGACGTTGGTTCTACCGCATTTGGTCGCATCATGCCCAATGACGTTTGTTGCCCAGGCCCCCCAGGGCCCGCTGCGGCGATTTAAGGCCCATGGTCACCACGAACAAAAGGCGTGGGCGTCGCCCGTTTCGGCGAGAGCGCCCGAATCTCGGTCTGAAACACTGGACGTTGGCCATGTACTGGAGATGTTCCTAAACTACAAGGAAAATCAACAAAGGCCAACTGGCCGATCAAGCCACTTGATTCATTCAATGCTACATGTCCTGCTATAGTTCTTTGATGGACTCTCAATTCCTCTCCCTGGCCCCCGTCGTGTGTCGTTTGGCTTATCAAGGCTTATTGTTTGAGCGAATCTCCTCAACCAATCTCCACTTGTGAACCGCTGAAATCAATGGCCTTGGACTTCAAGGTCCGAAAATTGTCCTTGGCTGGAGCTGCAGTCAACTCATTAGACTCATCGACCTGACAAAAATACTCCTCAAAACTCAGGCCCCGAACACTGTTCTTGGGCCCATGATGGTCCATGCCTTTTTGATTCACCACTTGTTGTTTTGTGAGGCAGTCGTGTCTTGATGGGTGTGGAGACGCCAGACCTTCACATCGATCTAGATTCTAGATTGCATGATTGCTTGTTACCTCTTGCTTGTTTCCCCCTCTGCAGCTCTGAGTTTCCCCTACTTTAGATGAATTGCACTGGAGTGCCCGCAGGTTGCATGTCAGCATGGATGAAAGGCGAGGGATTGGGGGCCCTCTTTCCGCTCATTGATGCCGCCCAAGGCGATGGTGTCAACGAATCTAGGGAAAGATCCCCATCTTCCCAACACTTCTTTGAAATCTCGCGTTTGCCTTGTTATGGTCTCGATCCGATCCATATCACAATTTGACTGCCAGTCCCTTAAGAACCACATAAGACGACCTTAAACGTGTGCACTCCGCTTCTACAATTCTATATACATAGTGAAAAAAGAACTGATCAAAAACACAAAAACATATTGTTCTTTGACTGATTGATTTCCTGTTCCTGTGATGCAATTTCAATCAAGTTAAAATAGACAAAGCAGGATCCTTCTCAAAACATTCACTTCAGCCCCAAGCTTCACCACTCCGCCGCATGAGCCCACCGGGGGCTTGTCGCTCCACTGCGAAGGCCAAAGACAGGCTGCTACAGAGGAACGCCAGCGCCCATCCCAACAACCTCAGCAGGATCCCACTTCGTGGGCCGATGGGTCACAGCTTTTCAATGGGTTTTCAGTGGGATACACATCAATTGTTCCATGGTGTTCCTCATCACCACCTCCACATTGCCCCAACCATACCAGGGCACCACCAAGCGCGGACACCCCGGTCTGGCGCCATGGCTGGTCGTAGAACCCTCTGGCTAGAAAAACGCTACAAAGGGCTGATTCGCGTAGTCGTAGAGAGAAAGGGAAGAAACATGTGCTGGCTTTTGGCTACCTCAGCAGTTGGGTCACGGGATCGGGGCTCAGGAAAGTTGTGGCTGCGGCTCCCACCATTTTTGTTGCTTTGGGCTTTTTTAGTTGAAAGGACACATGGGTCAAACATGTTGTTGTGTGTTACAGTGTGACATGAATTTGTCCAGCATCTTTCGTCCGAAACTCTTGCAGCCGCCGAACTCAGAGATGCTGATCGTTCGCACTTCCATAATATAGCACTTGAACCATTACTGTCATGTCGTAGATCTACAAATTGTGGGCTGACCCATCCTGTTTTGGTCAGCTCCGACACTGTGCATCAGCGGGTCTTCCCGCGGCGGGCAGACCGCGGCGCGGGTCTTCCCGCGACTGGAAGGCTGAAGCCGTGGCCGGCGGGTGGGAACCGGCCAGGACAGCCAAATCAAAACAACTGGATGGAAGAAACTCTCTACGGCCGCAAACCATGAATGCTGAGAGACTGGTGACCTGTCCACACTTGAGACATCCCATGGCAATTTGCCACGTGTGAGATACGTATCCCATTCACCCAAACAGTGTTTTACTGCTCAGGAAGACTTTGGATGACTTTGGTGCGTTGTGAGGCAAATCCTACAAGGCCAAGAAACCAAAGAAATATCAGATTGGGCCATGCAAGTCCATCTGTTGTGCCTCACATGGGCAGTCTCTACAGCGAATTGGCCACCAGGTTTGTCATATATGTTGGGCCACCAAGCTCTTCCTTTCACGGGAAACAGAACCAACAACACCCGTACAAAGGTTTAGTAGCCAACATCTGAAGAGAAAAACAAGCAGGCGGAGGGTTCGACTCTGCCCCCAAAATGATGTCAAACTTAAACAAACAGTAATGGATCCCCACCACACGCTTGAACTTACACGGTGAACTTCCCCAGCAACTCTTTCGGGCAACCGCGGGCAAATCGGTGAACTCCCCAGCAGCTCGCTGCACCGCCGCCTTTGGCTCTCGAGCTGCGTCGCCGCCTTTGCAAAGCCGTACGCTCTCAGCTTCCGAAGCACCAGTTCCTCGGTGGCGGCCTGGTCGTGGGGGGCCGCGGCCATGGGGCGCTTCCCCACCCCCCACCCGGTCACGGCGCGGTCTTTCGCCCGGTCATCATTTCCAAGTGATCCACGACAGTCTTGAGTATTCCAAGGTGGCATAGCATGGATGCCATCAAGAGTGGAACTTGACATGTTGTTGATGGAGAAACGACTGATTTGAGAAGTTCAGTCTCGATGTCAGGCCTGAGGGGCAGAAACTCAGGCGGGCACCCCAGTGTTCAAGTCAAAACCTATGGCTTTCATGCCTTGAAGCAACCAAATGATGGTCTGTAGCAAACAGTGTTTGTGTCCCAAATCACATCCCTCTTGCCTTAGATGTTCTGCCCTTGCCTCTGCATTCTGTTTTGTCTATCTTTTGCTCTTGATGAGTCTCTACAGCCTCCAGGCATCCAATCATCTTCCAACAACTAGAACCTTTAGTCAAGACCCTGTGAGCCAAGTCCTACTCCGGGCCTCCAATCTCCTACACCCACGTCCTTCCTCGTCCTCCTTCCTCGCCAGTCGCCGGTCGCGGTCCGCACCTGCCGGAGCTCCTCGAAGTCCCCGGTGTGGCGACAGAGACCCAGGTGCTCCACCGCGGCCACCAGGCGCGGCAGCAGCGCACGGCTGCTGTCGTCGTGCGTCATCTCGGTCATGTTCGGTGGCCTGGAGGTGGGCGGAACCTGTTCAGTGACTCATAAACATGTACCAAATTTGACTTGGGTTTTGGAGAACCCTGAGAACCCTTGCAATAGCTTCTCGCCGGGCTCAAATCCACTTACTTCCCAGAAGCGACAAAAGGAAAAACCATGACGCAAAGCCACGCTCTGCTCACTCTGCTCTTGCTAAACTCAGGGTGTTACCTCAACCTGCACATGTTGTTTGAGGCCAAACTGCATGTTTGGAGGCTAAGCTAGAGATAGAATCCAAGACAAATTTGCTCCCAACTTGGGAGCTCCACGGCTTCAGCGCTTCCTCTTAATACGCCTACATATCTTGTTTCCTCCCTTCTTCCCTCCATCCTTCCCTCTTCTGCCGCCTTTTCTCCAGCTGCTTCACTGCCGCTTCCATCGACTTCGACTCCGGCGCCAGCGCCGACACCGCCGCCAGCAGCAATGGTCGGTGGCCGACGCCGGCGACCAGCGCAGCTGCAGAGGAGCCGAAGTGAGAGCTCAGAAGGTGGTATCCTTCCAGCAACCAGGAGTTTTGAAGTGAAAAATGTCTCAAAAGCCGTGGTATCACTTCACTTCAAAAAAAAGTAAAAAACAATCAGTGAAGTGACATGTTTATAAATTATAAGAATTTGTTTCGAGCTCACTTTCAGGGTCGCTGGCTGCTCACTTTCACTCGGTAACCCCAAGAAACTCCTCTCCTGCTCGGAAGTTGGGCTTGTCAAAAGGAACCCAGGGAAAACCCTAAAGGACGACCTTCTCATGCTCGCAGTTGCAAGATCTACCGATCAGATCTATCAGATCAGACCTGTCATACGCTACGCAAAGCTCCTAATAAAAAGACCCACACAAAACATGCCAAAACCATCCCAAACCCGCCCCTGGTCGCCTCTGGAGGAATCCAATCCAGGAACATCAGGAGTTTTACTGAGTTTCGCCCACTAGATTACCAGTGCCCACTAGTCATCCAAAGTAATCAGTTTGCCCATCTATAAACATAGCTTCTCTCATCAGCACGAGCCGAGGTTCTCTCATCCTCTGTCGCGAGGTGCAAAGGTTCCAAGCCCAACGCACTGCTGGTGGGATCCAAAGCGATTTCTCGTGTATGTCCCTCACTGGGCAGCTTGCCCAAAAGCCACCTGAACAGCAAGAGAGGACGGGCCACTTGTACCAAACCCCCGAAAACTAACGTGCATCCTTGACCCGGAATTTCTTAAGACAATACTCCTTACACTTACACTATCTTGTGATGTCTTGTGAACCTATAGAGGAGGGTTGGCGGTTGGTCAGATTTTGCAGGGATGAACATATGCATCGAAGTCCAATAAAAAACACCCACATCTCACACCCATGTCCGATAGGTGGGGAACATGGTTGATTGGCCAGGTCAGGTCCCTTCCCTTTCACCGTGCCAGTCTGGACACCACATGTCACCACCCAGGACGGAGATCAGTTTCGTTTCAGGTCGTTTCTGGACCGACTACCTTGGTAGCGCCTTTGTTCATCAGCCTGTGGGGATAGGTCAGTGTCGACTTGTGATCTTCACATTCGACAACGCCACACCAGATGTGCCTCTGTGTAACACCCAAAGAGGTGAAGGAAGGGACTGGTATAAGCCGCTTGTCCTGGGTTCTGACCGAACGTGGAGCATGTATGTCGGATTGGTGGCGACATGCAACTCCGCTTGCACAGCTCCAGCAGAGCCTCTTTGGGCATCAACAAATGGTGGAACCAATTAAGACAGGTCAGGCCCCAAAGGTGCACAGCCATTGGATGAGAGACTTTGGTAAGGAGAGACTGAAGTGGAGATACCTTCTGAAGGAAACATGGAGAGCCTACTTGGAGGATACTTTGGATGCACTGCCTGACCGTTGGTCGCCTGCACCTCTCGACTAAAACATGTAGTCCTTGCTGTGTGTGATGCAAATACCTCACCTGCTGTCATGATTGATCAGAAGAAAACACTCACAAAGACGAAGACCAACCTGACTCTTTACAAACCATCAACACTCAAACCGGCGTGTGCCTCAAACATTTTAGACATGTTGCGACAAACCAAAGCTTAGATTGAGACATGTCTTGTCTTTTGATGTGGGGAGGCGTGTCTTTGAGAACTGAAAGGACCTGATCCCCAGTGTAGCAAACCCTGTCTTGAAATCCTTGGCAACCTGGGTCCGATTGTTTCTTGGATTTGCATTCCAGCATTCAGTTTTATGTGTTGTTTGTTCTAATTTGTGGGTGACAAACTCGAAAGTACTATAGAAGTACTATATTACAATGGGTGAGTGCACACAACTGAAGGTACAGCCAATCACTCAAGTTCCCACTCAAGTTTCCTTTGCTGAGACACTTCAGTGAGTTTCAATGGACTAGCATGCGCCAAATCCTATCCCAACCCTACGATCCGTGTCTTTTGCTGATTTGGCCACGTCATTTGTCCCAACCTTCCGGTCCAAATGGGCAATCTACTTATTTCTTCCTCCTTGTCCGGGCTGTCTGTCTTATCAAAAACATCAAGACTTCCCTGTGCAAATCTTCCAAATTGTCATCTACGTACTCTCACAAGCGTAATAAGGGCACCGAAATGGAGGTTGGCCCTCACCCCCCCTGAGAAGTAAACAGGTCAATCCTGAAACCACACCAACTCAGTGGTCCATGAATCACCCTGCCAGTGCCATGGCCAAGCTACTTTTCCCGCCAGCAAGGCCAACATCTCCCCGGATGGCGCGCCCATCTTTGGGGCGTCTTCCACGGATGGCCCCTCGACCCGGAGCGGGGAGAAGAACACGCCCTCCGCGAGGCCCAAGTCCTGCAGCTCCTGCGGAGCCGCCGAGCCGCCGAGGTGGAATCCCGTAAGAGAAGACGGCCAATGGGCAACAGTTGCCACTCAATAAAATCATCCATCAGCGTTTTTCCTATGCTTTGCTTTGGCCCACAAATCCTGATGAGCTGGGGGATGTCAGGTCCCAGGTGTCAGGAGGTGTGGTCAAACAAGAACCGCTTTGGATTGAAACTGTTCGTGTCAGTTTTCTGGATCTTCAAGTCACGGGGTTTGGGTTTGGTTTGCGCCCTAAACCCTGCTTCCTACATCCTTGCTCATCGGTTCTTCTGAAGATGTCTCCTACATCAGCTCTGAAACAAATGTTCAACACCTGCCTCTTTTGGTGGAAATGATGAAGCACACAGGAGAAAACACCTGCACGATCATCCTCATCAACCGACAGAAAAAGTAAAACAGTGCGCTTTCATAAGTTTTGCATATGGACTTGAGGCCAGAGGGGGTGAACGAAAGCTAGCCGGGCTTCCGGTGGTCTGCTGCTGGTGCTGCTGCTGCTGGTGCTGCTGCGCTGGGTGCTCTGCAGGCGCCGGGTCGTCTGCTGCTGCTGCTGGCGCTGGGTGGTCTGCTGCGGCTGCTGCTGCCGCGGCGTTGGGTATGCTGCTGCTGCTGCTGCCGCTGCTGCGCTGGGCGCTGCAGATGCTTGGTGTGCTGCAGCTGCTTGGTGGTCCCGCTCACCGCGCGCAGGGGGGGAGTCGAACCGCGGGGGGGGGGGGTCCATAAGATTGATTTAATCAATTATTTGAGGTTTCTGAGATGCGTCCACCCCGTCACTTAACTTGCTAAAGCAAGAGCAACTCCAGCTAGCTAAGGCTAGCTTTCGTGATTACGTGTGCGGTCAATCTCCGACCGTTTTAGGCGCCACGTTGTTGGATGAGCAGTATTGACATCGAAGCTTTTGATCAGCAGGGGGGTCGCAAACATCAACTACCTTGGATATCAAGAGATTCCATCCAACTTTAATACCCTACTAAACAACCCGAATATAAACATATATAAACTATATTACAGTATATATTTTGCTGTATATATTTTTGAATTGGATTTCAGTCCCAGAAATAGACCCCTGCTCATCTATCCCTGCCGGGAAAACAATGGAAAACCATGATTTGTTCCATCTCTTCATGGCTGTAGGATCTGTAGATTGATCGAGCGATATGAACTCCCCCAGTTGCGCACGGGTTGGGGCGGTGTGGGCTCCTCACCCTCATGCTGCAGTCGCAGCCCGGAAGCTCTCGCTGAGGTCAGTAGGAGCCAGCAGGCACCTTGGAGCCAGCAGGCGCTGTGCATTAGGGAACGCCCTTCTTCATCAATTGGTTCTTCGTATCAATCAACGGTTTTCTCTATTGAGCCTTTGTAATTCTTCTGGACCTTTACCATGGGTCCGTGGGGTTATGAAACACAGGGCACATCTACGACAAAAAGGACCTTGTTTTTCTTGACACAGGAGCAAGTTTACATGGATGTCTGTCTTCAAGGGCATGAGCAGGCCAAGACTGGCTACTCAGCCATGAAGAGTAGTATGTCAACGGTGTGGTTCTTTTCTGTCCTGATTGCCTAATCTCATCGATCAGGTCCTCTTTTCTCCACGTTCTTCAGAGTGTAAACAAGCATATAAAAAAAATAAAAAAAAGATGGAGCCCACGAACCCGAATGCAAACACGTTCAAAAAGCTACATATGTCCAAATGACACTCTTGTAGGACACTCTTGTGGGACACTCTTGTGGGTCACTCTTGTAGGAAACT